CTCTACTCTACTCTACTCTACTCTACTCTACTCTACTCTACTCTACTGCATACTGCAGTCATCACATCAGTAGGTTGCCGCTGCCTGTCCTTCTGCTTTGTGACGGTTAATGGGAGTGCGGTCACTGCCTGCCTTAGTCAGGAATGCAAGGGTCATTGTGAGCACATCGCCCAGGCCACCTCAACGGCAGCATGTGTGACCCTCCACAGGTTTGGTCAACAGGACGGCTGGCGGCACTTGCACCGCCGGCGATGTAGTTTACAGTCACAAAGAAATCCAGCGCCACATGAATAGTATTTCAGAGACGATTGCGAGCATGAAGGCCTCGTGATCACCGGTACGTACAGGATCACAGGATCTTTGCTCCGCCATGCCGGGCCTGTTTGAGCCCGGCGTGAGGTCGTTCTCGCGCCATAAAGCCGCGGTCACCACGACCGCGCTTGCCATGCTCGCTGCGGCAGCCGCAGGTGCCAGCTATGCGCTGTACTCCGCCGCGGTGCCGAGCGCCGCCCCAAGGCAGCAACCGCAGCGGCACGAGCAGCAGCCCGGGCAAAGCGCCGCACACAGCTCAACGTCGTAGACTGGAAGGGGGCCAGTCCTATCTGCTGGGCAATGGAGGAGGGACTGCCGGCCATTCACAGTGCCCTTGCACAGTTGGTGGGTTGTACGCCAGGCTCCGTGCAACCCACCTGTGTCTCTACCGAATATACGCTCCGCCCCCTGCGCTGCCAGGCCCCTGCCCCGGCCCTGGCCCCTGCCCCACCTGCTACCGCCGCTGCTGCGTTTGCCGCTCCCGCACGCAGTCCGACCCTGCGGCCCGCCCCCGCCGCTGCGTCAAGGCGCTTTCGGCAGTGTCCGCTGCCTGCTTGGCGGGTGCGGAGGCGCATGCAGCGGTCGTGGCAGTCCCCGGCCTAGCAGGGGCGGTCGTGCGATTCTTACGGCCAGGGCGGCTTGTAAGCTCGCCCCAAGAGCCCCTTCCGCCTGCGAGCGATGGAGCTGGCAAGCCAGATGCCAGCTCCCTCAACTGCAGCTGCCACCCAGGCCAAGGCGCAGCCAGAAGCAGCAGCAGCAGCGGCAGCAGCAGCAGCAGCGACGGCAGCGCAAACGACAGCGACAGCGACGGCGGCTTCGACAGCAACGATGCCTCCGGCAGTGGCAGCGGCGGCAAGGTCGAAGACGGGGTTTGTGACGGGACTGAACTGGCTAACGTCAGCCCTTGCGCACACGTGGCAGAGCGGCTGGCCGCCGCCGCCGTCGACACCGCAGCGGACTTGGCAGCGTCGCCCGCCGGCCGCGAGGCGCTGCTGCACTCCGGCGCGTGCGGCGCGCTGTGCGCGCTACTTGCGGCGCTGCTGCCCCCGCCCGTCGCCGTGCCGCCCCTGCCGCTGGCGGCCGCGGCACCCGGCGCGTCCCAGCAAAACGGGCCACCGCCCAAGCGGGCCAGGCTCGGGCCGGGTGCAGCCGTGCCCGCCGCCTGCCGCGACACCCCTTCACCTGCATTGCCTGGTGGCACCGAATCTCATGCATACCATGACCTGCAAGGTGCTGTTACGAGCCTCCACGCCCTCGGCAGCCTGGATTTGATCGCCGCGGCGGCGGCGCTGCTATCGGAGCTGCTGCTCAGCGCCGACGCGGCGGCGCCGCGCGTCGGGGACCTGCTGCTACTGCCGTCGCCGCCCGCGCTGACATCAGCGACGGCGGCCGGCGAGGGGGTGGGCTTTGACGGCGACTGGCTCATCAGGGGCTTGGTGCAGGTGGGTGCGTGATGTCAGTTCTCAATGTTCGCCATTGTTTCACTGCTGCCCGGGCTGTGGGTTCAAGTGATGTCGACAGACCGGCGCACAGGCGTGCCCTCGTGCGTCCACTCCGCTGCCTGTCGCCCTGCCAAACACCTTGCTGGTGCCCCGGCCCTTTCCCTGCCGCCGCGCAGGTAGCGCCCCACCTCCCACCTGCCGCCGCGCAGGCCGCGGCGGCGGCCGCCGGGCGCCTGGCCATGGAGGACTGGGGGCCACCCGCGGCGCCCGCCGGCGCCGGCGCCGCCGCGCGGGCTGCCGCCGAGGCGCCTTTGCAGCTTGGCGGCGCGCTCGGCGCGCTTTTGGCACCGGTGCCCCTCTACCAATTCCTCGACTCTCACTGGGAGTCCTCGCCGCTTCATATCCCTGCTGCCCCGCCGTCAGCCGCCAACACCATCGGCGCCGGCGGCGGCGGTGCAGGCGCTGACGTCATCATGACAGCGCCGCCAGGGGCGGACGGGGCGCTCCTGGCGGCGCTAGCGCGCGTGCAGGAGCTTGGGGAAGCTGACCTGATGGTTATCATGGGACGGAGTGTCAGGCTGATCCATGTTGACGCGACGGCAGAAGACCCAGTGGCGGTGCGGCCCCTGAAGGGGGCTTTCTCGACGGGCCCCCGCAGCATGCTGCTGCGAGGGGCCGCGGGGACTGTTTAAAGGTGGATTGATTTGGGAGGCGCGCTCGGGACAGGGCCGCGCATCCGTGCGGCCGCGGGTGTGCAGACGACAACAGCTTGCAGCCGCCGGATCACCAAGTCGGACAGCCCCTCTGAACTGCCCCCTCTCCATTCCTCACTTGCTGCCACCTGAAATCAAAGGCATGGGGCGCTGCCTGGCGGCGCGGGGAGCTGCTGAGGCCGCTAGAGCACGGGCAAGACTTCCGACTCATCCGTACAGTGGACGGCCGCGCGGGCGCGCAAGGTTTGCCGACGGCGGATCCTCCAGGCGGCGGCGGGCGCGAGGTTTCGGGATTGGATCAGCAGCGGCAACAGCCTCCGCTCCAGCAGCCGACGAGTCCGCGGGCAGCGGTGCCTGAAGCTGTTGAGCAGTTGCTCGACCCGCGGCCGCCTAAAGCAGGCGCCGGCGGCCAGGGCGGCCCCTCCTGTGCCGCCGGCGCGGCGTGGCTTCCCCGTGTGTGCGCCGCTGCGCTGGGGCGGGGGTTCACGCTGTCGCTGCGGGAGCTGTCGCAGCGCTGGGCGCCGGCGGCGGCGGTGGCTGACGCTCTGGAGGCGCAGCTTGGCCTGCCGGCGGGGGGCAACCTCTATTGCACCCCTGAAGGTGCGCGTCTGCATGTGGTGTGAGGGAGGTCTGCGCAAGGAAGTCGCGCGGCAGCTGCACGGAAGGATTTGGTGTGATTCACAAGTAAGGGCTCAGGACAGAGAGGGAGTGCGCCGCGCTGCAGGGTTGCATGGGCAACTTTGGTTGAAACCTGCAGTCAGCGTCAGCTGAGGCCGGCATGAACTGCTCCAGCCTTCGCTCCCTCAACCCGGCCGCCCCGCCGCCGTGCAGCACTGCGGCCCGCTGGGTGATCGCCCCATGCGCCGAGGCCATTTCCATACACGCCGCACAACCAACACAACCTCGTACCCCCAAATTCGTCCTCATCCAAGGGGCTCAGGGGCTCAAGGCCCACTATGACGACCACTGCGTGATCTGCACCCAGGTGCGCGGCGCCAAGCGCTGGCTGATCGCACCGCCACCGCCGGGGCGCCCGCCGCCCCTCGCGTACGAGCCGCGCGGCGCTGTCGCGCCGCTGGTCGAGGGGGCAGACAGCGACGGCGGCGGCGGCGGCACGCGCGTTGTGGAGATGTGCCGCGGGGACACCCTGTACATTCCCAGGGGCTGGGCGCATCAGGCGCAGGCGTCGGCGGCAGCGGCGGGGCCGGCGGCGGTGCCAGGGCTGGGGGAGGACGGCGCGTGCGCCAACGGGGCCGCCGCGGGGCGGCTGGAACGGTCACAAAATAGCAGCAGCGGCGGCGGCGGCGGTGGCGGGGCAATGTCTTTGCACGTGACATGGGGCGTTGAGGTGTCGCCGCAGAGCAGCTGGTGGGGGTTCATGCACCTGCTCATACACACGGCTGCGGGGCTTTTGGAACGCAAGGCGGCGGAGGGAGGCGGCGCCTCGACGCACATGGGAGCGGGCGAGGGCTGCGACGCGGCGCTGAGTGCGGCGGAGCTGCTGCTGCACGCGCGCCTGGCGCGGGCCGCGGCGGGCGGCTCGGCCGCGGCCGCGCTGCGCGGCGCGTGCCCGCTGGCGGCGGAGGCCGGGGTCGAGCGCGCTCTGTGCGAGGCGCTGCTGCGGCGT